TCCATCCCCACCACTGAAGGAAGAGAGACAGACAGACAGAGAAAATAAAAGAGAAACAAAGGCCGAGCCCGGAGCAATGTAGCCACAAGCCAAGGAGCCTAAAGAAGCAGTAGCGGCAGGAGAAGCTGACGGAGGACAGGCATCCGGAGCCTGTGCAGGGGGCTGCTGAGTCCCTGTTTGCCTCAATTCAGTGCCGGTGGTGGGGAGGCTGGCAGGGAGCCCACTCCACAAGGCGGACACAGGGCCAGGGTGTTGCTCCTGCTCGGCCCCAGAGCTGGTGGACAGCAGAGCCACTGCCACTTCTCCAAAGACGGACGAACAGCGGGCAGAGGGGACATTTGGAGGAAGGGATGTCTGGCAGCCACCAAACCTTGGGTCCGGTCACCAAGACCCTGCGGGGCTCATTCCTGCCACCTTTCCAGCGGCAATGGCTGCTCTTGTGAAGAGGGAAGGCCCAGGGCCCCCTGGGACATGGCTGGCTCGGGGTTGGCTCCGATGCCCAGTGCCTCTTGCCGTGTGTGATGGGTTAACTACCGGTCATCTTGGAACGCCCACCCGGCTGAACCGGGTCAGTGTGGCTCTGGGCGTGGAGGGTTGCTGCCAACAGCATAAGAGGAGACCTGGAGGGGAAGATCGTGTGCTGTTGATAGTCCTGGAGAAGCTTGGGCAGCTGGTTTTCCTGAGGCGAACTCGGCTGTTCTCATCTTCAGAGGAGCTCGGGTCCTCACCGTGGCCTGGAGTGGCTGCTGTTCTCCTCGGGGGAGCTCTGGTCTTCACCATGAGCGTCACTTCCTGGCTCCAGTGCAGATCCCTCAGCCTGGTGCCACAGACCCTTCACCCCACCAGCGCACTTTCTAGGGTCCACCACTGGCCTTGGGGCCTCCCCAGGGCAGACCCTCAATAGGGACTCGCGTGAGGCGTCGCCCTGGGCTCTGGGCCTCTAGCCGGACTTGTGGGCCACTGCCCTGGGCTCTAGGCCTTCCGCTGGACTTGTGTGGGACACTGCTGTGGGATCCAGGCCCCGGGCTGGATTCTTCGGGTCTCTAGTGTGTGCACAGATCTCTTGTGCTCCTCTGCATTTGACTTTTTGGGTGAGTGTTATAAAATAATCCTGTAAATTATGTGTCCTGTACTAAATCTATTCCCTGCAAACCCTGACTACAATACGGTGCCTTTCCGGGCCCAGTGGAAGCTGTGGGATGAGTCAGAGGCCCCATGCTCCTGTCTGACAAGCACATAGCCCACAGGAGCAGGGAAGGAGAGGCAGCCCCACAGCTACACTCCTCAGGCTGCACTTCCTGACCTGCATGGCATGGGGGGGCCAGGAGGTGTGCAGGGTTGGCCCTGCCATCTGCCACCCCAGGACGCACCACGGAAGTCACCAGACTCGGGCCCAAGGTCAAGATTTCCCAGATCATCGGGCCAGATGGAGCCCAGAGGCCTGAGGGTGCAGCAGAGGCGGCCAGGCCCTGAGCCCCGCAGCACCCACCCTGTGCCCCTGAGCCTGGCCACTCCTTTCCCGGGCTCTCCCTCACGGCTTCCTTTCACAGAGCGAGGTCCATGCGGGGACAGATGGCCGTCACCGGCCAGAAGGGCTCTGCTAGCACATGGCCAGCCTCCCGCAGGGCAGGAAGCTGCAAGAGGGAGCCCAGCCCCTCTGGCCAGGGCACTGCTGTGAGCAGCCCGGTCCAGCAGGAACAGGGGGGCAGGCCCTACGGCAGGGAATCAGGAGATTACTGTCCTTGCCCCGGTGCGCAGCCTGCGAGGGTCCTGCAGCTGCCCAAAGAACATCCCATGAACGTGGTGCCCTGAGACAACTGGGCCAGGGATTTAGCTCAGTGGTTCTGCCGCCTGCTTCGCAAGCGCAAGGTCCCAAGTTCGATCCCTGGTCCAAAACAAACAAACAAACAAAATGTTCCTGAGACAACGCCTGCTGTTCTCCTAGAGTCCAAAGTGGGCCTTCAGGGCTGAAACTGGGGTGTGGGCAGGGGCGGCTCTTTCCGGGGCTCCGGGAGGGATCTGTTCCCTCAGCCTTTCCAGGTTCCTGGGCTCTGGGCCCCTTTCCCCATCCCCAGAGTGCCTCGTTCCAACCTCATCTTCCTGCATCACAACCGGCTCTGACCTCTTGCCCCCCTCCGACGAGGACCTCTGGAGGACACAGGCTGGCCCAGATGGTCCAGAACCACCCCCCTCCACCATCCCAGTCACATCTGCACGGTCCCTTCCTCCACGCAGGTGACACATCCACAGGTCCCGACAGGGGCCTCTATCCACCCATGCAGGGAGATGTGCCTTGCCACACTGCAACCAGCCACAAGGTCTGCACATCACAACAGTCCCTCTGCTCAGCAGCCAGTGAGTGGTGGTGCAGACAGCGTGGACACCCAGGGACAGGGAATGCTGATTGTCACCTGACAGGATTGAGGCATCCAGCTAGAGGATCAGTACAGCACACTTTGTACCTGGTCATCGTGGGGTGTCACCTTGGGGCCCATGTCTCGTCCCTGGCCCCTTCTCCTTGGGCTCTTTCCCTTTCTTTCAGCCATACCATGCAGTGAGTGGCTTTGCTCCCCCACACTCTTCCACCATGAGGTTTCTGGAGCAGCTGACCATGGACTGAACCCCTAAAACCATGAGCCCCGTGAACCTCTCCTCCTTTAGGCTGGGGCCTTGGGTGTTTTGTCCCAGCAACGGGACAGCTGACAGCACAGACGAGGAGGACGTCGGATTTCACCAGGCTATTCAGAACGGTGCCCAACTTAAAATTTGGGAACTGTTTATTTCTAGAGTTTGCCATATATTTTCAGACCACAGTTGACCACAAGCAAGGGAACCCACAGAGAAAGGCTCAACAAAAGCTCTGACAAAGGCTAAGCAGGGTTTGATAAAAGTCTAAAAATCTAATTACATCTAAGGAGGTGGACAGCTCAACGTGGCACAGGGTTATTGCTTAACTAGGGTTTATAAATTTAGTGGGAAATGATATTTTAAAAACAAAAATAGCAGCCAGTCGTGTGGTGCACACCCATGATCCCAGCTACTGGGGAGGCTGAAGCTGGAGGATTCCAAGTCTGAGGCCCGCCTGGGCAACTGAAGCAAGACCTGTGTCCAAATTTTAAAATGAAAAATAAAAGTCTGGGGATGTAGCATAGAGGTCGAACACCCGCCTAGTATGTATGAGGACCTAGGCTCCATCCAGCCCTGGGAACACACACACACCATCCTCCCGTTTGTCAGGGCACAAATCCCCCTGGCCCAGCTTTCAGGACTGGCACAGGGCAGGGGCTCAAGCTGCAGTAGGGGCCAGAGCAGGCTGCAGCCCAGGCTCCATGCACCAAGTCTCCCCCTCCCCAGAGAACGCTGTTTAAAGGCCGCTATGAAATGCCAGCCCCCTCCCCCTAACTTTGTGAGAAGGAACCTCAGAGTCCAGGCTGGGGCAGAAGGGCCCCAAAGTGGGCAAGCAAAGCCCTGCCACCAGCCTTGGGCCTGCCCGGGTGCCACCCTCCTTGGTGTCTGGGGCCCCATGACTACCCCCATGGCTCCCCCTCCATGCAGGCAGACAGTCGGAGTCTCTCCGGAGGGCTGCTCAGCATCAGTTAGCCACAGTGGCCATGGGCACCTGCCCAGGGCGTGCCATGCCCAAGCTGACAACAGCCATGACCCGCACCCAGGGTCCTGCAGCTGCAAAGACCCAGGGACCCGGAGGAGGTGCCGCCTGCACGCCGCCACCTCTGCAGGCTCGGCACACACCTGACCGCAGGACAAAGGTGGCCGTGCCGCCAGCACCTCCCCAGCTGCCCTATGCTGGCCCTGCCTGCTCCACTGCAGAGCTGTCTCAGGTACCCACAGCCCTGGCTCACTCCTCACCCATCACATCCCAGAGCACAGAGGCAAGAAAGCTAAAGGAAACAGAAGGAAGGACGGCCGGCACCGTGTGACCCTGGACGACACAGGCCACTGCTGTCCTTGCTTTCTAACTTCCCCATATGAAGCAAGCATTACATCTACGGCATTAAAAATAACTGCTGAACCGAATTTGTTCCCAAAATACCAGGTGAGTACTGTACTCGCACGCACCGCCCGTTTCTGGGAAGGAGGAGGGGACAGCATGATTTGGGGCTTCAGCACTGAGGTGGGGATTCTGGGCTCCTGCGGCTGCCTGGAGTGAGCTCACTCCCATCCGACCCTGAGCAGCCCCAGCATGGACATTTGCACTGCCCACAAACCATGGCCGCCGCCTTTGCTCTCCACTGGGATCAAAGGCCGCTGAGACGCAGGCCGAGGTCTGAGCTGGTGCAGAGGCTGACCTTCCTGGAAGCTCTCCAGCCCAACAGAGCTGCTCCAGGAAGAGCAGGGCAGATGCAGGTTGACCTGCCCAGGACAGCACAGCCGGGAGAAAGGCTGGGCCTCTCTGAACACCTGAAGCCCAACAAGGCTGCCAGGCCCCCGTGCCACTGACCCTGGACCAACACTCCACTCTCTCCCACGGCCCACCCGGGCCTCAGCCCCACCAACATCTAGAGCTGCCTGGAAATCCCCACAGAACCCAGGACCCCTCGGGACCTGGTCCTTAGAGGCCAGGGCCCCTCTGAACCCCAAATTCAGTGCCCAAACCCCATACCAGGCAGCTGCTGGCCCAAAGCACCAAGTCTTGTGCCAGCCCTGGGGCGGTGCCTGCAGCAGGTCTGCCCCGCTGGGACCCAGGGAGCCTCGGTCGGCCAGGCAGCTTCTGAACACCTCTCCTCCACCCGATGGCTGCGCCACACCTCCTACCAACACAGCAGCCACCCTCCGTGTCTGCCCACAGTTCCCATTAAGCTCCTTAGACACACGGCAGGTGCCGCCCTGCTGGAGGAGAGGCTGTGGGCTCCATGGCCCGGCCCACCCCAGCCCACGGGCACCCGAGGAAGCCCAGCACTCCATGGGAACCAGCTTGAGAAGCACTTGCGAGGCCTCCGGGGACAGCAACCGGAGCGGAGAGGGCCACCCCAGGCTCCTACCTGGAGGCCGCGATCTCGGCCTTCTGCCTGGCGATGGTGGCGGCCCGCTCGGCGGTCTCCACCGCACGGTCCACCTTCTCGCGGATCTTGCTGGCGCGCAGCGGGATGAGGTTCTTGCGCTTGCCGCTCACGAGGACGTTCTGCTTGTACTTGCCCTCCTCCTTGGTGCCGTCGGGGAAGGTCATGCAGCCGTAGCCGTGCCGCCGGTTGCCGGCCCACTCGCCCTCGTACTTGAGCCCGTCGGAGCGCTGGCTCACGCCGAAGCCCGAGCGCTTGTCGTTCTTCCACTCGCCCACGTAGGTCTCCGTGGTGGTGGCGTCGATGTCATCCTCGATGACGGCCAGCTCGGCCTCCGCCTCACCCAGGCTGATGGTGGAGTGGACGTCGCTGGCCGTGGAGCTGACGGTGCTCATGCCCGCCTCGCTGCGGAAGGAGCTCTGCTTGCTGCGCTGGCTCGCCAGGCTGCTCTTGGACTCCGACTTGCGCAGCTTCAGCCCGCTCAGCAGCGAGCGCCGGAACAACCCCTTCTTCTTGCTCTTCAGGATCTCCGAGTCGCTGTGCGCCACCAGCACGAAGCCACCGCGAGACACGGCCGGGCTGCCGGCCCCCGCCGGGGAGGCGTCCGGGTGCAGGGCAGAGCCGTTGGTGTGCTCGCTGCGCAGGGAGTTGATGGACGTCCTCAGGGGCGAGCGGATGACCGCCGCCATGCCGTAGGGCACACTCTGCCGCACGCCGTAGCCCTGGCGCATGCCGCCGACCCATTGGCCCTGGTACGTCCCTGGGGAGACAAAGGGGAAAGGGTGAGCTCCCGGACAAGCCCGCGTCCAGCAGCACCTCCGAGCTGGGTGACACTCAGGCGGCCCGGGAGCGGTTCCACAATTATTATTACCAAGAGCTGTTTCAAAGGCCCTTCCATTACTCGGGAGGCTGAGGCAGGAGGATCACTGTGAGTTCAAGGCCAGCCTGAACTATACAGCAAGACCCTGTCTCAAAAACAAACAAACAGGCAACTAGGGAGCCCGGCAAGAGGTGGGGGATCAGCCTGGAGTGATCCACACAGTGTCCTGCACCTTGCAGTGCCTGCCTGGAGAGGTAGTGAACTCCTCACTGCTGGAGGCATCCAAGAGGACTCTTCAAGACCTCTCGGTGGGGACAGCGTGGGGAATGGGCTGTGGCATTAGAATCGGCACTGGGCAAATTCACAGGCAGGGGAGTCGGGGACCCCAACCAACCCCTGGTCATGGCCACAGTGTCCCTGGGAACCACGGGGCAGCTCTGAGTGCCTGCCAGCAGGCAAGGGACCACGGGGTGCGCCACGGCAGCACTGATCACCATAGAGGAGGGAGGTGCTGACCCCGGCTGGGCAACAGCACCCAGGGAGGGAAGCCAGGTGCAGACTCGAAGGCCACGTCCTGCTGAGTCCTGTGCATCCCCGGGACCAAGACAGCGCAGAAGGGGGCTGGGCTGGGAGCGGGGGAGGGGCTGCACCCAACAGGGGCAGAACGCACCTGGGGTCACTGAACTGCACACTTAGAAGTGGCTGGAAAGCCAGGCACGATGGCCAGCAACTACACTCCCAGCTACTCAGGAGGCTAAGGCAGGAGAATTGTGTGCAGGAGTTTCAAGGTGAGATCTCATCTCAAACAGGGGCAGGAGAGGCCCAGGGATTTAGCTCAGTGGTTCTGCCACCTGCCTCGCAAGCCCAAGGACTTGAGTTCCATCCCCAGTACCAAAAAAAAAATAAGGGGGCAGGGGGTAAACTGTGGTTATACATGGCATTATTGAAAAATACGGTGAATGTTTAAGTTTTTTAAAAAATGCATTACAGTAGCGGACACATTGCCACGAATCCTCCTCAAGACATTCCCCTTTGCTTCAAACACACTGATCCCATTGCTCTTGCCACTCTCTGAAGCAGTTCTGGAGTTCTCTTTTGTGTCATTACAAGGTGCAATCAAAAACATGGTGACTGCTGCTGCCGTGCCATCCAACGGGAAGGCAGCTCGTAAACACAGGATGGTGCCCTTCTCTGCCCTATTCACCGGGTCTGGCACCATGAGACTTCTGGCTTTCAACATGGCCGTGAAGGAGACATGGACCGAGAGGCAGTGAAACAGAGCAACTCAACACAGGGAAGAGGACTCCGGAGCTGCTGCGGGAAGTGAAAGAGCCACGGGAGCAGCGCGTTCCAAGCGAGGGGGGGAGTTGGAGGGGACTCGGGGCACATGTCTTTTAAACACTGTTGAAGTGTAAACACCCAGAATTTTTCAATCATGCTTCGTATACAGCACAATAAGATAAGAAGGAAAAACAACCAGGCCCGATGGATAGTTTCTTGCCTCACGCATTCGTGTGTGACGTTAAGCAGGTTTCAGGACCTCTCTGACCCCATTCCACTACTGCAGAAGCGGAACAAACTCCTAGCCCTACAGCCACCAGGATCAGGGGTGCTGTGGGCAGGGCACAGGCCTCCACCACTCCGACCACCCCGGTGACACGGGCCACAGCTCCGGCCCCCAAGATCCATCAGCCTCACCTCCCGGGCCCCAGCTCAGGAACGTCTCCTCATCCCCCCATGGCTTGGTGCACCAGACCCTCACCCCACCTGCCCCCCCATCCCGCTCCACCAGGGCCAGCCCAGCCCAGGTTCAGTCCCCATAGCGCCTCATGTGCCCAGTCTTGGGGCCACCAGCACCCCACATCCACTCCACATGCTGCAGGCTGAGTCAGGACAGCCTCTGCTCGCATGGTCCCCACTCGGGCCGCCCCCAGCTCCCGAGAGGCACAGCCTCCAGCCAGGTTCCAGAACCTTCTCCACTCTTCTCCTTCCTTAATGGCTGCATGATGGTCCCAGGGCATGAGCTTCACCAGAACTACAGGCTTGCCCGGCCCTAGCTCAGGTGTTGGTTTTTATGTTATTACTTTTGGTGCTGGGGATTGAACCCAGGGCTGTGCACACATGAAGCCCACACTGTGCTGCTGATTTAAATGCTTGGCCTCTCATTCCGCATTTTGATAGCTAATATTTACACACAGTCTTCACCTCATCCTCGGGGAACTTCCCAGAATGGAACTGCTTGCTCACAAGGAAGGTTTTCAAGGTTTTTGATAACTGTGCTCAGAAAAGGCTCCTAGAATGACCATGCCCTCCCTGCACTGTCACCAGCACCACAGTGTCACTGACAAGCCCTTCTGAGCCAGAGCTGAGCTGAGCTGAGCTGGAGCCCTGAGGCCCCGCCACATGGACAGTGGCTCTGTTAGAGGTGGTTTAGGCAAAGTGAGCCACCAGGGTGGGCCCGGCCCCACGCACCGGACTCCTTCCCACACGGACCTGCAGTGCCACCCTCAGCCACAAAGGCTGGGGGCTGGAGAAGCAGTCTGCAGCACCTCGGTTTGCAACCTCAGCCTCCGGAACTGGGGAAGGCCGACTCCTGCTCCTTAAGCCACGAGCGCCGTGGAATTTCAGGAAACAAATGTAGAATTCTCAATGTCCAGCCAAGTAACCATATAGACAAGAAGTTAGAACAAACCAAGAAAAAAAGGTAAAAAGCCAGATTGTTGGGAACATGAAAATAATGAGGCACAGCCGCACACACCTGTGATCCCAGCTCCTTGGGAGGCTGAGGCAGGGGGATGGCACGTTGGAGCCCAGCCTGGGCTACTCAGTGAGACCTGTCTCAGATTATGTTATATATTATAATTATATCTAATTGCTTACAATGTATGAAATTTATATAGCTATGACATACATAATACATTCATAACTGTATATAAGTATACTGTATACATGTTATAAAGGCGCGTATATTTTTAATTAATAGTAAGAAGACAGCCCCCTCACTGCAAGACGCAGGGAGCGATGAAACAGAGCCAGGAAATCCCTGGGAGGAGGAGTGTGGTGACGCAGCGCCAAGCAGGGCTGTTGGGCTACAGCGTTTGTCCCATGGGGACACCCTCTGCTCCCCGCCCAACCGCCAGAGCCTCCTCTCAGTGCGGGAACAGCCAAGGGCCGCCAGACACTTGGATACGGCCTAGGGGGGAGGAGACCAAGACACAATAGACAGGAAGGAGAGAACTGGCACTGCCATGGAAAATATAGGTGGTGAGCCGGGATGTAGCTCAGCGGCGCCACGCCTGCCTCGAAAGCGCAAGGTCCTGAGTTCAATCCTCGGTACCAGGAAAACAAACAAACAAACAACACCAACAAAAAATATATATATATAGTAGAAGAAGACATCAAGGGATCTGGACTCCAAATCCTCAGGAGGTAAGATGCTGCATCCCCCAAAAGGAAATAAAATGAACTTTTAAAAAGGAGAGGTCAAAGAAAAGGAAATAACTGGAAATCACAAGGATGGTTAAAATAAAAATTCTGGTGGCTGGGAATGGACAGGCACACCTGTAATCCCAGAACTGGGGGGGCGCTGAGGCAGGAGCATAGAAAGTTCAAACCCAGGCTGGACAATTTAGCAACTTAGCGAAACACTGTCTCAGAAAAATAAAATGAGCTGGGGATGTAGCTCAGTGTGGAGGGCCCAGGTTCAATCTCCAGTACCTTCCCCACAAAAATGGTAAATGAGTGAAGGTGAGTTTAAGAAAATCTTTTGGAAACTAAAATATGAATAAGAGGTAGGATTGGGGGGCCGAGGCAGGAGGGTGGCCATGAGTTCCAGGCCAGCCTGAACTACACAGTGAGACCCTGTCTCAAAAAAATAAAAAAGATGTAGGGAAAAACAGAAGAAAGGGCTCATCCAGGAGGCCAGGAGGCCCCAAGTCCAAGGACCAAGAGTCCAGAAAGCAATGAAGGTGACCAAAGGCAAAGCAGGAACATCTCCCAGAGCCGAAGAGAGTGTGTGTCCAACCAAGGGCCCACAGACACGCTGCACAGGACAGGAAAGAGCCCACACCCAGACCTGGCAGCATGGTTTCAGAACGTTACTGAGCAGGTTTTACTTACATGCTTCAAGGTGAAAGAAAAGCAGACTGTTCATGGCGGACTGAGACCGAATGGCAGATGACGTCACAACAGCAACAACAAACCCAGAACTGTCCCCAGGGGGAAAATGCACCCTTAGCACCACAGATTCTGAGCAAAAATGATTTTCAATCTACATCCTATGCCAATTTATGAATCAGGTAATGAAGCCACAGAAAGTTCATGTTCCACCCAACCTTTCTCAGGAAGCTACTGCAGGATGTGCTCCACCAAAATGAGGGAGAAAACCAGGAAAGAGGAAGGTCTGGGGAGATCAAACACATGAAAGGAAAGGGGACTTATAGGAAAATGGGGGCACTGGGAAGACAATCAATAAACAAACTTTCAATTGTGCGTGCTTCAGGTAGAGCATCTGGCCGGTCTGAGTGAAAACCTGCATTAAAAGTTGTTTTGCTGGGCATTTGGAAGGTGGAGAAAGAATTAACCAACAATTTAAAGAAAACAATGCAATTTAAAAAGTGAGTCAATGACTAACTCAGACTGTGCACAGAATGCAGGATCAGGGTATACTGCGTGGCTCGGCAGTGAGCAATATTAGCATAGTCAGAACAATGGAAGCACTGTGATGGGTTTAAAGGATTATGACAACGCCAGCATGGCTAGGGAAGGGGTCTGGAGGCTGAAGATCTCCATCTGTCACAGCAGGAAGCTGTGGGCAGGGCCATGATGAGCCAAGGAAGTCCTAGATGTGCAACCTTGGAGAGGCAGCAGCCAGGCCCCAAGGGGCTCAGAGTCATAGTCCTGGGGAATGGGCACGGGTTGGGGCCGGGGCCTGCCTGAGC